GTATTCACGGGCGCCCGCGGGTCGAAGCCAGCAGCGATGAACACCCAGCTCACAGAGCCCTGTCGTGATGCCAAAGTACACCCCATGGCCGGTTTGGTGGAGCCAGGGGGAGGATGGGAACATCTGCAGCATTCGCAAGCCGACCCGCCCCCCTTCCTCAATTCATGCTTTCAACAGCCTGTGCAGCCTCCATCACGCACCCGCATGCGTACAATCCACACGCGCACGCACACACGCACACACGCACGCACACACGCACGCGCGCACACACACACACACACACACACACACACACACACAAACACACACACACACACACACACTCACACACCGGCCCGTGCTCGGTGTGATCCTCCGCATCACAGAGACAACAAGCTCACTGGAACACTAAGCCCCGGCTTTGGCGCGTCCTGGCCGGCGGTGGAGGAGCTGTCACTGCGCAATAACCGCCTCACGGGGCCGCTGCCAGCAACCTGGGGCTCCTTAGGCTGAGCAACAATCAGCTCCAGGGCAGCATTCCCTCCTCCTGGGGCGCGCTGGGCGCGGTGCCAAACACCACCCTGTGGCTCAAGGACAACGCTGGCTTGGTGGGCTGCCTGCCGCGGGGTCTTGAGAGGCTCCAAGGCAACACTGACGTCTGCCAGGGCACGGGCCTGAAGTGCTCCGTCTGCTGATCACAGGCTGCTCACTGCTAGAGCTAGCATTTCTGCCTAGGGGCTTGCACCTTGCAGCATGGTACTAAGCAAGCTAGCTGCTCGTGGCAGGCTGCAGCGGTGCATGCTGGCCCTGCACGATTGGTCAGGTATTGATTTGGGAAGGCATGCGACTGCAGTGCAGCCCCTGCATGCCATTTCAGCGGCCCGGCCAGGGGGAATGCCTTGGCAGGAGTGCATGTCTTGCGGCTCGCCGTTGCCTTGCTTCCTCAAGCCCCATAATCCTTTACCAAGCCAAAAACCTTTTTCTGGGCCAACGATGCATTTTAATGTTGAGCTCCATGATCCTGATCGCCCCCATTCTGGTCTAATACACTTGTGGCAAGTCCAGGGCGCTGGCGGTTGATTGCATTCTGTGGCCGGCTTGCCCTGCTGCCACAAGCGGAAGTTGTAATACGTCAAATTTGTATATTTGTCTATTTCCAATCAGGCCTCAATTCATGCGTGCATTAACAAGCTGCTTGCAGGTCTGATGTCGATGCAAGAGAGTGGTGGCACATACGCCCTCCTTTGCACTCAGGGTTGCGGCATGTGTGCAACACCCAGCTACAAATCTGAGCCATAAACTTCTGGCATGTGCAAGCGCCACCCGATATGGTCCGTATTGTTGACATAGTGAGAACGACGAGTGCATGGGCATGACGACTATACAGTCGTGGTGTGTTGAGCGCGCTGCTCGGCTGTTGCGGCGTGCTGCCGATAGAGGCGCCGGAGGAGGGGGGAAGTGTGCACAACGAAGGTTGGGGTTCTTGAGTTCGATCACCAGCTGACCTTGGTACGTGACACATACTCTAGTGAAACATACCATGCAAACGCTCCTGTCATCCATCCTTACGGTCCCCGGCGCCTGGGGGCGGCGTCAACACCACCCAGGAGTGCTGCAACAGCATGAGCACGAGCAGAAGGGACATGCAGCATGCTGCAAGTGGCCACAGATTAACATGTTCAGGCAGTGACGGTTTGAAGAAGTACTTGCCTTCTCTAGGCGCCAAAAATCAAGAAGCAGGAGGGTGGATTCGGCGCTGAGACGGTACCTCACTGTCAATCGGTGAGTCAAGTGCCAATGCTACAGGTGTCCGGGCCACGCCGACGAACGGCGTAGTGGGAGTGACGTAAATACGGAGGCAGATTATGATCGACGTTATAGCAAGTGTGCAAGTACCTCCTGTCTCGCGTCACCAGATGATCTACAGGGTTACACAGGGGCACCCCGCGATCCACAAACTATCAAGCCCGCGCGTCAATATGATTGCAATCGCATTGTATTCTTGACTTGCTGTCACGCTGAGCCCCGCGCTCTCCCCGGCCTCAAACACGACAATCAGCACCGGCAGCAACTGTCGCCGCTCGGCTCGCACCTCGCTGAGAGCGATAATGACCACCTACTTCACTGTCTCAGACGCAAAGCTGGTCGAGGTGCGAGGCCAGCACTTGCCTGCACCGCTCTGCAGCTGCTTGCGAAACAGCGCCCTGCAGTCCCCCCCCCTCCACCACCGCATGCACACGCACGTCGCTTCACAAGCGCTCTTTCATGGCCCCAGGCCAGCGGGGAGGACTTCAAGACCATAGTAAAAAGCGGCACCCTCACCATAACAGGCCCCTCGCCGGCGATCACGGTGCGAAGCGGGCCACTGGCCCCCATCCCCGCACATGTGTCTGCCGGATCCACGATCGGCATGCGTGCTGGGCTCTGCTATTTGCACCCGCCATCTCGCTTCCTGGGTGTTGCAGCAGAAGCGGAGGGCATCTACCTGACATATGTGCCTTCCAGCTTCCCCCGTCCTTGAACACGCCCCCAACGCGGCCTGTGTGTGCAGCCGAAATCACCCCTGCCGCCACCCCCTCTTCACAGGTTGACGGCAACCCCATACCGCTCCAGAAGTCATCACGGGAGCCCTTCAAGCGTGTCGGCCGGGATTTCAAGTGCGCAACAACCCTTTGAAACGCCACGCCCCACGCCTCGCGCCACAGCGTCACAGCGCCGCACCGCTTGATTCTCCGCCCCGCCCCCATGTGGGACCGCCGCTCCCTGAGTGGCTGCAGTCACAACCCGCAGAGGCCGGCCGACGCCCGAGCGCGCGTGTGTGGGCGTTGAGGGTGCCCGTGAAACCTCAACCTCCCGGGTCGGGCCGCGTCTCTTACTAGCCCCCCCTGAGGAGGCCCCGGGGCTGCCGCCCCCCGTGGGCGCACCGTGCGGCTCCCTCCGTTGCCGCGAGGCAACTGCTCCTCCAAGGGCGCAGCTCTCTCCCCCGCCACACAAACCGGTGCTCGCGCCTGCCCCCCTGCCGTCCATGCCCGCAGGTTTGCCACGCAGGATGTGATGTCATTCTACTACGTGTCCCTCCCCGCGGGTCAGCCCCCCCCCCTCGTACCGTCGCCAACTTCGCGCCCCTCACCCTCTGCAACTCTCGCCGGCCCGCCAAACGCTCCTCTCGCTTCCCTGGCACGCGGCCGCCCCGCCGGTGCCAGTGCTGACGTCACAGCCGTTGTCAGGGCCCGCTTGGGTGGGACCGCCACCCACTGCACCGAGTCCGCAGTTGCCTGCTTGGACCGTGATTGATGTCAAAAACCCTCCTCCTCCTCCTCCTCCTCCCCCTCCCCCTCCTCCTCTTCCTCCTTCTGGTCATTACCATCTTTGTCTTTGTTATCGTCAATCATCATCATCCTCATCACCACCATAGTCACCCCGAAACCCACCGCCGCCAGGTCTTGACGATTCTGTGTGTGACAGGTTTGAGGAGCTGCTCACGCTGTCAGAGGAGGGCCGCCCCCTCACGCTGCCCGGGCCGGCGGAGAGGGCCGCCGTCGCCGCCAAGGCCGCGAGCGCCGCGGTGGCTTCAAAGGCGTCAGAGGTCGCCGCAGCGGTGGGTTTGGAGGGTAGGTGGCTGGCCCGGCAGTCATGAACCTTGTGACGGGCAGTATTGAATATTGCATAGGTAACAATGCAACAGGTATCACATGTTGACAAGCAACACCGATTTGCTATCCCAGGTGGAGGCGAAAGCGGACGACGCCTCGGCGGGTGTGCACTCCGCGCTCGGCGCCAAAGCGGGCGGGGCTGCGGGTCTTTTTGGTGCTCTGAGGGGGCTGGGCCAGAAGGCGGCGGAGGACACTCTGGCGGTGGCAAACGCAACAAAGGTGGGGGCGGAAGGGGGGGAGATGACGTGTGTTCAGGGGGGGTCGCATGCACGCTTCTGTGTGTGCGATCATGCGTGTGTGCATGTGGTTGCGAGCGCTGTGCGTTTGGGCGTGTGCACACGCGGGGCTGGGCAGGAGGGGGATTAGGGGGGGGGGGAGAAGAAGAGGGGTTTGGTGCTCACAGATGTGGGGCTGGAAACAGGCTGGCGGCAGTGACCCTCGGGTCAGCCCAGCAAGACGCCCCCTCCCCTTGAAAGGCCGGGCAGCCAGCTGCGCGGCTTGCACGCAGCGCACGCCGCCTCCCTAGATTGGCTGCACGTGGCACGGCGGGCCGAGGTGGCCCCGCCAATTCCTCTGGCCCTGCGTTGACGTCCGCTCAGCACACTGACAGACACACACGATGGCGTCGACATGACTGTTCTAGCCCCAAGACACGTGCGTGCAGCTCTTGCAGTGCACCTGCACCATCACAGTGTCAATAGATGCCCCCCCCCTTGGATTTGCGCCATGTCGCTGGCTCCCCCCTCCACACAAACACAAAAAACAACCCACTGCACACCGTGTGCAGAGTCCGCACACTCACCACAAACGCACCCCGCGTCGCTCACCCAGTGAGAGTCTTCTCGCCCCATCCTCCTTGCTCGCACCCCACCCTACGAATACACCTCACTCGCTCCCCTCCCCTCTGTGGACGCACCTGCTGACGCACCTGTTGACCCCATACATGTTTACGCCCCACTGACCCCGCTATCAACGCGCACCCCCCTTATCCCACCGCTTGACCAACAGGCCAGGGCGCAGCGCGACATCGCCGCACTCCAGGAGAGCAGGGCCAAGAGGCACGCCGGCCGGCAGGGCGCGTGATGCAGCGGCGCCTGCAGTGAACTGGAAGACCGGCAAGCCAATCCCGCGCCGGGGCGTCCCAGCTTCCGGGGACACTACGAGGTGCGGGGACCTGCCACGCCACCTGCCTGGACGGCGCACACGCACGCACGTATGGTTCGCATGTGTGGGTGGGGACAGCCGATTGGGGTGTGTGTGCCCGCCGCATGCAAGCATCCCGCTTCTCATGCAACCTTTTCACATCAGCTTCATGGGGAAAAAC